GGGGTTGAGGAAAGTTTCGGGTACCAGGGAAAGGAGGAGAGAAAAACTTTGGAAGCGACCTCCAGGTAGAGACGGCGCTTGGGAATACGGTAACGATCGGTTGGGTTCGAAAATTGAGGCGAAAACTTCGAAAAGCAGGAATTTTTTGTGTTTAGCGCTAAGAAGAAAGATCTGCAAATTACTACACAGTTTCTAAGCCCCAGAATAAATAACGAGAATCCGGAAAGAACGATTAAACGATAGTTTTCCAAAAATTCCGAGCAACTTATCTCTTTATCCCATCGAAAAGTGCGCTAAGATGACTCAAAAAATGAGGCGAACGCCTCGAAGATAAATCTAGTAATTGCTTTTTCTTGGCGTGAACTAGACCTAAATCTTATCGTTTAGATTCTAAGCTTAAAACTAAATGCCTAAAATCCACAAAGAACTTTTAAACTAAAGTTTTACCAAAAACTCTAGTCCCTTCTCTCTTTTTCTCCCACTGATCAGTGTGCTAAAATGTGCGCCTCTGTTCGGCCGGTGATAACCTCCGAAGGCTCACGTCGTGAAAGGGAAAGGACCAAGGCCGTTCTATCGCCACTACCGTATCCCATCCCCCAGGTACGCACCGCGTCATCCACAATCTCCGGCGGCTGCACATCGTGGGACAGGTCGTTGCCCGCCGCGGCGAACAGTTTCTGAACCAAAAAAATAAAGATTTTTTGATGTAACATACCACATCTTGGCCGCCCATGTCCTGCTGCTCGGCTTCGGGGCTAATCGACGGTTCCTCAAGGCTCAGCGCCCCGAGCTGTACCTAGGATGGGGATGTAGCAAAAAAAGAGGAAGAGTTTTAGAATGAGAAAAATCTCGATTTTAAAAACCACTCACCTGGCCGGGATACATGAAGCTGGCCTGGTCGCCGGGCGGCTGGGGCGGCTGGTGGATTTCGGCGTACGGCTCCTTCGTCTCGTAGTGGTTTGTCATGCCTGCAAAAAATTAGGAAAATGCGAAAATAGAAAGAGTGGATTTTACTCGGCGATGAGCAAAAATTTCGGGGGGTCGCTGAAAATCCTGGGAAGGAGGCGGAGGAAAAGGAGATGTTTCATAATCAAGGCGCGGGGGTCGGGTGGGCTTTGGAAATTTGGATTTTCCCGCAAGGAATGACTCAAAAAATACGGAAACGATGTAAAGGAGGTGGATATAGATTGTTCAAAAAATATCTGGAGAATTTGAAGAGATGTAAAGCTGTAGTTGAGGTAGTTGATGATCTCGAACAACTTGAAAAGCTAGATAAAGCTTGAGAAACCAGCTATAAAAGCTCGCGATTTCCAGGCGGCAAAAAGCCGAAAAATTGAAAAAGGGATTACTAAAATCACAACAGAAAAGAAACAAAACCATCCAAGCCAAGCGGAAATTGCAAAAAAAAGACAAAGAACACAAAGCTCCTATACAGTCCCCCAATTCACCCACCTCATCTCCATCCACCAACCGCAGCTGATCAGGGCCCAGGGCCCAAACCACAGGCCAAGAAGGCCCCGAGAATCGGCATGCCGTCAGCCGGACTGTGGCGGAATGGCATGAGGGTGGTAGAAAAGAGGGGGAGGAGGGAGGGGCTTTGTGTCTCGACCCGACGACGGCTATCAGATGGGATGGACACGACAGATAGGAAATGGGGGGTGAGGACGATAAGGAAAAGCCCGAGACCAACCCGATGATCGCCCACGATAACTGCTGGGGGGTGGGTGTCTTCTATGAGGCACACGATGCCCCTCGAAAACGGTGGGGCGGAGGAGGGGAGCAAGGGAGGGGGAGGTGGCGAAGAAGGTGGACGAGGCCCAGGACACGCCCCCATCAAACACACACCCAATTGGCTCTCCACTCCCCCTCCTCTTTGCCACCACCAGCCCTCAACGATACCTGACTAGGGAATGTTTTCGGGCGGACATCGGACCCAGATATGTGAGTATGTGCATCTTGTAGAGCTCGACGAGACGAATCGATTGATGTAACTTTTAGCTGCTGATACCTTATTTTAACAAAGTTACAATGGTTTAAAGTTTTTGGCGATACCTTCATAGGCCCTACCCACGCCCCAACCATCGTGTCCTGGCAGCCTAGTGGCTTAGTAGTCGGCGTTTGGAGATAGTGACGAGGGTACGGATCCGCTCACGATTTTTATTTTTTGCTTTTTGGCCGAAAGCTTCCTTTTCGCACCCCCGAAGGTCTACAATAACTTTTTTAAAATTTTTTGAGCTCTAGGACGTTCGCTAGATACATATTCCCAATAAACAAGCATAAAGGGAACACAGAGATTTTTCGAGCTGAAGTCATCAACATTGGCTGTGCTTGCAAATAAAAAAAACCACTCAATACCGTCACCCATTTTGGTAGAAGTCCTGGAAATACAAAACAAAACTTTAAAAAAGTTATTGTAGACCTTCGGGGGTGCGAAAAGGAAGCTTTCGGCCAAAAAGCAAAAAATAAAAATCGTGAGCGGATCCGTACCCTCGTCACTATCTCCAAACGCCGACTACTAAGCCACTAGGCTGCCAGGACACGATGGTTGGGGCGTGGGTAGGGCCTATGAAGGTATCGCCAAAAACTTTAAACCGTTGTAACTTTATTAAAATAAGGTATCAGCAGCTAAAAGTTACATCAATCGAATCGTCTCGTCGAGCTCTACAAGATGCACATACTCACATATCTGGGTCCGATGTCCGCCCGAAAACATTCCCTAGTGAGGGCATTAAAGTATCGTGGAAGTGGGGCGGGTTTAACAATATTAAAAAAACAGGAAACTTATCGAAATTTTTCAAAAAAACAGGTTTGTAAGGCAATTAAAAACAAGTGTTGATCGTATTTTTGAACTTTAAAACAGCTGGTTTTACCCCTAAAGTATACTTTAATACCTTAAATTACTATTTCGGCTACATTATTATACAGTTTCATCTCGTTTAGAAGCCTAAATTACCTAAATTTAGAAAACTACAAACTACAGGAATACCTGGACCACAAAATCGGAACCAGATTTGTCAAAAAATCCCAAAATTAGTAATGATTTGGTTAGTAAAGAAAGGCACCCTCAAATTGGCAAGAAGCGGCAAAAACATCTTTTCCGGTTTTAAGTTATACAAACCCCAGCCGTTGTAATTTACAATCTATACAACTCGTTGCAAAATCCCGAAAAAGTATCGATCTTTATGAACTTGGCACTTTTAGGGCAACGAAAGTGCAACAGGAAGTGGCGGTCATCCCCTGAAAGATGCGATCAAGCCCCCAGCTTCAGGCCCCTAAAAACGCAGCCCTGATCTAATCGGCTAGGATAAGATCTTTGCAGTAGATCTGTCGAACCTCTCAAAACTATAATTTAGGCCTCTAAATCCCCCCGAACACCACGACAGCCAAATCGCCTCTCCAAGAGGAGCGAATAATCTTGATACCACAACCCCCCTAGTGTCGCTATAAGATTAGGATCGGAAAACATTCAGCGGCCAGCCCGGAATGAACAATCTTCAAAAAGTGACCGCAATTATTTTGCGGGGTCCGACAGAGGACTGATGACTGTACGGGAGGAGAGGAAGGGCGACGGCTCCGTGGCTAAAGCCATGGCTATTGGGTGGGGGCAAGTGTGTAAAGTGGCCGCAGAAAACATTTCCTCGCCGGAGAGCGGCGTTTCTCGCACAATTCAATGGCGCTCTTCCGGCTGGAGGACGATTAGATCTGTTTCTAGGTAGTTTTTTGGAGTGTAGGTTTGTGGTAATTAGGGGTTTACTTGTAGATGAAATTCATCGTTATAAAAAGCAATACATTCGCTGAAAAAAACCGGTTATAGCTAGACAATTTCACAAAAAAACGCTCAGGGCGGCAAGCACGCTTATGGATTTTCTTAGCTACCAATTCCGACGGATTTTGACAGTCCCGCGATACGCAACGCGCCAGCGCTTGTTCGCGTACAGCGGCGACGGAAAATCTATAACGAATTCAGAATCGACAAAATCCATATTGTAACTTCTAGCCATAACTACAAAAAGCCCTTCTTTACGGACATTTCGTCTCGCAACTCAAAACAACCCGACAGCGGCCGTCATCTTAAAGCGGAAGCGGGCCCAACCAAAGAAGATTTTCAGCCAGGAAGTGATACCTACTATCTGGCGGATATCCCCCGGGCGCTTCCACCCTCCGCGAAACGCCGGGTGTACGGTGGAAGCCGGTGGTCGGCCGAGATTTGGCTGCCCCCGGGCATTCCCCTCCAAATGGTAGGTGATATATCCCCTATAAGAGGCGCGGGTGCCTTATAACCTGCTAATTGGCTGTGTCGGCGTTATCAAAAGTCCACCGGTCACACTTTACACGCCCACCGTTCGCGCCCTCGGGCTATATTTCGCGGCCTTTCATTTGGGTGGGCGCTGAGGGCAAGAAGAATAGCCCGTTTAAACGGTGAAGTATCAGCTGGTTGTTTAGGGGGGACTGTCTAGATCTAGTTACGTTTAATTATAGGAAAAGGACAGTTTTCTATCAAGTTTGACGTGATACGTACGTTTTCAAAGATCTGTATACGAATTATGGAATTCTAGTAGTGTACCGAAACAAAACGGCACTGGACTGTTAGCGGGGGGGGGGGGTAGCTTTTAGCAAGGAGGAAAACTTTTTTCTCTGCCTATACCTATCGGTGAATAATCATTAGTGTATTTTCATAATTTTTCAGTAGTTTTTGATTGCTAGAAAGTTACAAAAAAATTATTAATTTTATTTTAAGATTTTGAAAATTCGAAAGTTTTTACGGTTTTTTCGTCATTTTCCATAAATTTTTGTTCAAGTCAAACATTTTTATACGGTTGTTATGGACTTTTTATATAAACACTGTGTAAATTGCGATAAAAATAGTTTAAATTTTGCTGTAAAAATTATGCTTCAAAATAGTTTATATTTTGCTATAAGTTTTCCACTTTCGATCCCAGCGAGATGATTTCTGCGACAAAACCCGCAAAAGGTATCAAAAACGCGGATCGCAAAAACCGCGCTCTCACCCCTCGCCAGTGGTTGTGCGGCGCTGGGCCCGCGGGCTACATGCGCGTCGCGGAAGTTCTTTCATGGCTCGACACGGGCCGGGATGTAGCCCGGATGTGGCCGGCGGGCATTTTGCACGATTGGCGTGCCAATCGGGCAGCCCCGGGGTATAAACTGTCCGTTTTGGAGACGGACGGACATGGACATCTACTAGACATGAAGACGGATGACATCGCGTCGTCGTTGGGATAGTGATACTTACTTGGAAGTGGGTGAATGAGAAAGGAATAAGAAAAAAGCAAGTCAACTTTCCTCTTGACCGTTAGCGGGGACCAGCCTAGTAGTACAAACTTGTATATTTATGGAGTTTTTTTGGTACTGGACTGTTAGCAGGGGGGGGTTTGCAGCGGGATACTAATTTTTCCGGTAATCCTGTCACCAAACAACGTAACAAAATATAAAACATTTTACACAAGTTTTTCTCTATAAAAACTCATGAAAAAGATTTTTATAACTTTCCAGCAATCAAAAACTTCTAAAACCATTATAAAATACACGATTTTATTGGCAAGTAGGTATAGACGGAAAACAAAAAATAGTTTCCTCCGTGCAACCCCCCCCCCCCCCCCGCTAACAGTCCAGTACCGTAATTTTTGTTGTAATCTCTGATCAGGAAAAGGTTTAAATCCTTTGCAAATTAGAGATATAGCGCCATTTTTAGCCTAATAACCGGTTATTTTTTTAAAGCTATGACGGTCCTAAAACTTGAAAAAACCCGGCCGCAAACCGAGCCAATGACCGGGCCCACCGTATGGTTTGTTTAGGGCCAAAAGTCGACCCGAGGGCCCCACCCGGGGCCCTCGAGGGACCCCGTGGCGGGTAATTGAGTCGATGCGCGGCCGAGGTGTCCCTAAATGGCCGGGATCCAAACAGATAAGCGGCCTCCAGGGACCGCGGGCTTCCTATTCTTCTACCGT